TCTTGCAATTCTTGTGTGTAGATTAGAGGAATGCTTTTGTCATATAAAATGACCTCYGGTAACTCGTCAAAAAAGGCTCCGGGAGATACAATTATAGCTATATCTTCTTCTGCGCTAGCATTGATGAGTACCGCAACGACTGTGAGGATTTTAAAAACATCTAGAACCAAAGACTGAATTCAACACTATTATAAAATAATATTCTATCACTGTACGTTAAATGATCACCCATATACATTATACCTATACCCGAGTACTTCAGAAAATATTATTATAATTAATTATAAATAATTAATAAGTATTATTTTTAGGTATTAATTATTGTTTATAACTTATGCTGGTTACTTATAGTACTTATCACTAAAACTTACATTAATGAAATAGTTACTGTATTAAAATGCAGTATAAGGTTTTAATTTATAAACACTAGGTTTGTTCCAGCATAGTGTTGCAAACTTTCAGTGCATGCGCAATGTCAAAAACGTGTTCCAGCAGAGCAAATTTAAAACATCTAACAAAATGTTTTCTGCTCCATCAGTGCTGTAACTTGTTGTCAACTTGTTGGAAACAATAATTTTTTTTTGCTAGTTATTCAGTCAAATGTTATGCGCATGCGTACAATGTAAAATATTAATTATTTTCCTTCCAATAAGGTATTCTCCAAAGTAATGAGTTGCAAATATTACAGCCGAAATTTCTAATTCGCTGGCAGTAAAATTTTTTTCACCCCCTTTCAATTTCCTAGACGCGTAACTAATCGGGWGTCTTTTTCCGTTTTTATCTTMTTGTTCGAATATTCCAGATAGTCCCTCTAATGAGACGTCATTACAACAGATAACAGATTCAGGTAACAGAAACAGGGTAACCGTCTTTGAAATGTACCATAACCGGTACGGTTGTTATTGCCTTTTTTAAAGTCTCAAAGAATATTTCTTGTTCGTTTCCCCAAATAAATTTATTTTATTTTTTGGTCAAATTAGTTAAAGGACTTGCAATTTTTTGCGAAATCTTTAATGTATTTTCTGTAATAACTAGTGAGCCAAACAAAAGCTCGTACATCTTTAATTTTAAATAAACCCAAGACCAATTTGACAAAGATGTTACCAATTTCATTATACATTCAATGGTCCCACTAAGAACTGCAGAAAACCCATTTTTCAAAAAAATATTTGAAAATATTGGAATCACTAAAAAAATTGTGTTCCTAGTCGATGAAATCTTGGGAGAAAATACATAATTTGTTTGAAGACAATAAAGAAAAAATTATAAACAATATTAAAAATGTAAAATACGTATGTACCACAACTGATGGTCATCAAAGAAATTGATTAATTGATATCGGGCGTAACAATATATTGGATCGATGTTGATAATTTCCAACGGCGATCATCGAGGCTTATCGTAGATTTCGTGGAACACATAGTTATAACAGAATTGCTGATATATTACAAGACATRCATTTAGAATACAGTTTGGATTCTAATAAGGTTAGTAATTGTATATATTATATAATATTTGAATAAAGTTGTATGTATACTACAGTGAAACCTCTATATACATAYACAAAGTCTATGTATATAGAAGTAACTAGTCAAACTTAATCAAATGTATATACGTATTTAATGCAAAAATTATATTTTTATGAAAAAAAGCAGACGATAATTAATAATATTACACAATAATATGATACATTTACAATTATAAATACACGCAATTTTCGTTATCATTATCATATGTAATCGATCGTAAATCCAGGTGTTGACATTAGGTACGCATGCGTTATCGCGACCGGTGACCGATTATGAAAATAATTGTTTTGATTTAATGATTTATTATGATTTTTATTTTTGTGAATGGTTGCCTAGTGCCTAACGTTAAAATCGTTTAAATACAAATATTATTAATATTTTCCCTATTTATTAATTTATAGAAAATCGCAGAAACTGACAATGGTAGTAATTTTGTCAAGGGGCTGTCACACGAGGTGACTACTCGCTACGACTACGTACCAGCGAGTAAAGTCGCTCCATCTGACAACGTATTCGCTACGAGTGTTATTCAAGTCGTAGCTATGAATAGTCGCGGCGAATSAAATAGAGCATGTTCAATTCTACTCGCTAGAAACGCGCGATTATGYTGGTCACGTGACCCACTCGCAACTCAAAATCGCAGATTCGCCCCGTGTGACATCGACACTCGCTGGTCGCTACTAGCTAGTATCATTCATGGCTAAATGAATCATGAATCATGCATCATGGTATGATCTTAGTTCCGTGATACGCATGTCGATGACGTCAGCCGGACGGAATTCTTATCAATACGCGGGTATTTTTTAATTTGTCTTGTGAGTTGTGACTCACAATCTAAAATGAAAACATCTTGTAACATAATATTCTAAATTTCTAACATCACAAGTTGAGAGAACAAGTTTTTGTATCTTAAAAGCGACACTCATTACTCAATACTCATGG